CCACAAAAACCCATATATAACCCAAGTCCAAGTGAACATAATACAACCAATACTTCATTTGACTTCCCAACATATTTACGAAATATGCTCCAATCAAACCCAAATGCTTCTAAAGAAACCTTGGAACAACAAATGAAGGAAATCTTTGCAGAAGCAGGCAGAAAGCCAGTCGCATCAGATGAAACAGTACAATCCTCACCAACACACAATAATAGATATTTCCCACTGGAAGAAGCAGACCCAGAAGAAGAAACAGACCCAGAAGAAGCAGAAGACCCCAATGAATTCAGCCAAAGACCATAAGATGCTACACCGTACCAAGTCACCTCATATACTGTACCAGGATGCTTTCCGTACCATATACTGTGGTCACCGACACATACGACAAAGCTGACACTGTGGCTGCCGACACATACGACAAACCCGGCACTGTGCTGCCGACATAAAACGACAAATATTAATGTTTAAGATGTTTCTTTAAGCATCTTCCTTTTCTTTTGTCTTATCTTTTTTTGCTTTACGTCTCTTCTCCCCTCTTTTGGTCACATCAGGTCGCTTTCCTCCTCTTCCTTCCTCGCTAAGCTACCTCGCCCTTCTCCTATATAAGGAAGCACCCTTCCTCATTTCCAGCAGGTCTCTCGGAGTTCTCTTCCCTCTCCGCTCTCTCCTGCTCACAATTCTCTCTGCTCTCTTCATCTCTCTGCTCTCTTCATCCGTCTGCTCTCTTCATCTCTCTACTCTATTGGTCTCCAAGACTACGATTATCATACCACAGAAGCTGTCTTGACCTCACAGCTTGAACCTATCTCATGCTATCTAGGTTTTTTCCTATCTTTTTGATGCTCCAAAACCAGGTTCTCTCTCATCCTCTTATCTTATATTTCTTTGTATAAATGTGTGACTGTAACTTCAATAAACTCCCATCATACTATCCTCACAGCTGGAAGTTATTCTCCAGTTATTGTCTTTGTAAGCTGTAAGTTTTTGTTCATGTTATTTCTATAAGATCGGTTTGCTTATGTACAAATGGTTTGTAATCTTTCTATAATCTAATGCAGTTTAAACTTGTATTCAGTATCAAAATAGGTGATCACACACACACTTCGTGGTTTGTTATCGATATTTCTGTTATTCCTTTTATCATAATAATCTTATTCTGCCTAAATTATATTCGTATATTACAAGAATTGGTCAAATATAATAGTATGCTATTTGCTTACCTGTTATAACATATTATAACATACAAGGCGTAAAATTACTATAGATCTTGGTATCAGATTTACAGAGGGAATTGTTACCAGATGTGATTTAGCTTCTGAGATTTCTGGTATATCTTCTGGTGGATCTGGACTATATGTTGTAATAAGATGATTGAATTCTAATTCATCTGTATCAGACTCTTGATGAGATAAATTTTGTAATTCTAGAGTTTTAATTCTATTTTTTAATTGGTGAACTTCTTTTTTGATTTCTTTAATCTCATGTTTCAAGTCGGAAATAGAAGGTTCTTTGTGTTGAGTACTATGTTGTTCACTTACTTTTTTCATAATAGAGGCAAAATTGTATTCATCAGGTGTTTTATTAATTGGAGGTGTTTTTGCTTTTGCTTTAGTTAGAGTAATGAATTTGGTGATTACAGATCTTTTTTCTGCTGGATCTGTAATTTTTTCAATAACATCTAATATTAAATTATCTTCTTGGGTAAGCATATGAAGATTATGTGTAGGTATAGGGCAGGTACAATTAGATTCGTTCATTGGATGAGATGATTCTGTATCTGTAGAAGAATCTAAAGAATCAGATGATTATGTCCATAAAAGATCATCATCTTGAATATGTTCTATATGTGATCCAGTAGAATCTGAAGAAGTAGAATCATAATTGATTATATTATATAATTTTGATTTGATTGTTTCATCTAAATGTAATGATTCTATTTTTTTTTTTAATTTGCATTGGTGTTTGTAATGACCAACTTTTCCACATTTATAACATATTGGAAGTTTCTTTTTATTTTTTGTATTTGGAGAGAATTTGTTTATAAATTTTTGTTTAGATCTTTTATATTGTTTATGTACTTTATTGGATTTGGATTTATATTTGTATTTTTTCTTTTTCTTTTATAACTTTTCAGGTTTATTTTTTCTATCTAAATGGTATCCAAATTGTTCACAGAAATCACCAAGTTCTTTACGTTTGGTAATTTGCTGTTTATCTAACTGTCTTTTGAGTTTGAGATCAGTACATAAAGCTAATCCTTCAGCACATATTTCTGTTGAGAGTTCTCCAAGTGTATATGCTGAGTATACTATAATTTCATTATGTTTCTTTCTAAGTCTGTCTTTGACTTTTTCTGCAAATAAATAGGGTAGACCAGCAATAAATTTTTCTTTCCAATGGTCTAATTGACAGTCTTCTCGTATTAATAATCTTGAGAAAAAGACATCCTTGTACCATTTATAATGGGATAATGTAGGACAACGAAGAATAAATAGCAAATCTTCTGATCTTGCTGCCAATAAGGCCGTACTTCCTACAAAATATAGTGTAATGGTATATATTAAGGTGTTTACTACATCACTTTCAGTATACATTATTTTTTGATTTTGTTCATTCCTGGCGGTCCATTGTCTTGTATTAGTAAAGATTCTATTTTT